CTGTACTAATTTACATTCACACCAGAAGTGTACAAGGGTTTTCTTTTCTCCACATCGCCAAATTATCTTTTGTCTTTTAAGTAGTAGCTATTTTAATGGTTATGAGGTGATATCTCTGTGGTTTTGATTTGCATTTCCTGATGATTAGTGATGTTGGGCTTTTTTTCATATACCAGTTGGTCATTTGTATGTCTTTTTTTGAGAAATTTCTATTTAGTTTTGGAAACTTTTTTTTTTAAGGCAGAGTGTCACCCAGGCTGGAGTGCAGTGGCGTGACCTCGGCTCACTGTGACCTCTGCCTCCCAGATTCAAGTGATTCTCGTGCCTCAACCTCCTGAGAAGCTGGGATTACTGTTGCCTACCACCACATTTGACTAATTTTTGTATTTTTTTTTTTTAGTAGAGACGGGGTTCCAGCATGTTGGCCAGGCTGGTCTTGAACTCCTGAACTCATATGACCAGCCCAGCCTTGGCCTCCCAAAGTGCTGGAATTACAGGCGTGAGCCACCATACAAGGTCTAGATTTGGAAATTTCTATCGACATATGCTCAGGTTCAGAAATTTCTTCCTCAGCCATATTCAGTTTACCTTTGATGCAGGATTTTTCTCGGCCTCTTCACCAGACTCATGGAAGGGGTGCCTCATCTCAGCCTGTCGTGGTCAACCTTTTGTTGGGAGGAGCATGCAAGCGAGCGAGGGTGGAATCTGGCTGGCTGCTCCGGGCACTGACACAGGAGCAAGCTCCATGCAGGGCCTACAGCCAGACGAGGCATGTTACCTCAAGGGGAACACAGTGGCGCCCAGGTGAGGATGCTCACAACCCTGAAGCCCCAGAGGGAGTGTTACAGTGCTCCTTTAGTTCCACTGTCCGTGGACGGTGGTGTGTTAGCAGCTTGGTTAGCCCCTTGCCTTGATCCAAGGGCAGTTGCCCTCTGCTGGCAAGGGCAAAGGGCTGGTGTGACAGCCTTTCTGGGAGTCTGCACTCAGTGGGTCCTGAGCATTTGTCCAGTGACCAAGAAGAATGAGCTCATATGAACTGAAAGATAAGGTAAAGAATTTTATTAAGCAATGAAAACAGCTCTCAGTGGAGAGGGAATGGGAAGGACAGGTCATCTTCTCTGAAGTCAGGTTCTCTTCCCTGAAGTCAGGCAGTCTCCTCCTCTACTGAGTCGGGGGTTTTTATAGGCACAGGATGGGGAGTGGATGCTGATTGGTTTGTGTGTATGCAAAAAAGGTTAAAGCAAAGACACCACTTAAAGGTGGGCATGACGGTACAGAAAGGGCAGGTATATGTAAAATAGATGAAGGGTGGAGATCAACCAAAGGAAAGCACACCAAACAGGAAGACAAATTCTCAAGCTGGTCCAAGGATTTAACTTGTAGCTTGGCTTTCAGGCTTTAAACTGTCTTTGGTGGCTGGGTGCAGTGGCTCACGCCTGTAATCCCTACACTTTGGGAGGCCAAGGCAGGTGGATCACTTGCGGCCAAGAGTTCAACACCAGCCTGACCAATATGGTGAAACCTTGTCTCTTTGTCTCTACTAAAAATAGAAAAATTTGCTGGACATGGTGGCATGTGCCTATAGTCCCCGCAACTTGGGAGTCTGAGGCAGGAGAATTGCTTGAACCTGGGAGATGGAGTTGCAGCAAGCCAAGATTGCACTTTCACAGTCCAGCCTGGGCAACAGAGTGAGGCTCCGTCTCAAAAATAAAATAAAAAAATAAATTTTTCTTTGGCTTGGAGGTGGGGTTTCACTGGGGACCTTCCCCTATCTGCCTAGGCATTTGGCTGCCTCCTGTCGTTATCAGCTTGAGCTCATGAAAGGTGTTCTTCATTTCTGTTAACAGTGGCTTTGATCTTGAGTTAGGCTGTTTTTGCATTATTTTAAAGAATACCCAAGGCTGAGTAATTTATATAGAAAAGAGATTTAATTGGCTTATGGTTTTGCAGCCTTTACAGGAAGTGTGATGCTGGCATTTGCTCGCTTCTAGTGAAGGCCTCAGGAAACTTTGACTCATGGGAGAGGGTGAAGTTGGAGCAGGAACGTCACACGGTGAGAGTGGGAGCAAGAGAGCAAGGATGGAGGTGCCATGCACATTTAAACAATGAGATCTCGTGAACTCACTCATCAGCAACGGGATGTTGCTAAGCCATTCATGAGGGATCCACCCCCGTGATCCACACACCTCCCACCAGGCCCCACCTCCAACAACTGGGATCACATTTCAACATGAGATTTGGAGGGGACAAATATCCAAACCATATCAGATCTGTAGCATTTCTTTTTCATTCTTTCTTAGAAGTCTCTCTCTCTGCTTTTATTACCTATCTGTTCTTGCAGGTTGTCTACGTTTTCCATTAGAGTTTTTAACATATTAATCAGTTGTTTTAAATTCCCAGTCTGATCATGCCAACATCCTTTGCATGTCTGAGTCTGGTTCTATACTGGCTCTGTCTCTTCAACTGTGTTTTTTGCCTTTTACTGTGCATTGTAATTTTTTATTGAAAATTGGGCTAGGCGCGGTGGCTTACCCCTGTAATCCCAGCACTTTGGGAGGCCAAGGAGGGCAGATTGCTTGAACTCAGGGGTTTGAGACCAGTCTGGGCAATATGGTCTACAAAAAAAAAAAAAAAAAAAAAGCCGGGCGTGCTGGTGCATGCCTGTAGTCCCAGCCACTTGAGAGGCTGAGGTGGGATGATGGCTTGAGCCTGGAAGATGGGAGGCTGCAGTGAGCTGGTGATCACACCACTGCCCTCCAGCCTTGGAGACAAAATGAGACCCTATCTCAAAAAAGAAAAGAAAAGAAACAGCTACCTGCCTCATTCAGTGAGTGTATTAGTTTTCTAGGGCTGCCTTAACAAGTACCACATGCTGGGTACTGGCTTAAACAACAGATTTGTTTTCTCACAGTTCTGGCAACTAGAAGTTCAAGATCAAGGTGCAGGCAGTGTTCATTTCTTCTGAGGTCTGCCTTACTGGCTTGTAGATGGGGGGCTGTCTTTTTCCTCTGTGTATGTGCGTGTGCTAATTCCCTCTTATGATACCAGTCATATCAGATTAGAGTCCATCCTAATGACCTCATTAATTAATT